GAGGAGTGAAGTTTGCCAACAGCCTCCAGCTGTAGCACCGTCGGGATAATGCTGAGGCCATGCTCTTCATGGCAGCCCACCCAGTGATGGGGCACAGAGGGAGTAGAGAGGGATGCCTGGTCATTTCTGCCCAACATGGGACTCTATGGGAATCTTTGTTTTAGCGCTCCATGTTGGCTGGCTGAGACTTGCTCAGAACTGCACTGCAGCCTGAGGCTCTTCCTGTCCAGTCTTCACTCTTTCCTCCTCTTCTTTCACAGGTGTCAGACCTGCATCATGGTGTGAAGGTTCTCCCCACCTACTCCTGTTCCCACTCCCCTTTTCCTTTCACAAGCCTTATCTGCAATAAATCTCTAGCACTGCTAACTCCATTCTGACATCTGCTTCCTGGGGCCTCCAACTGACATATATATTTCATTTTTATGAAATTTTAAGAGAGGCCAAATTAGTCTACAGAGACAGAAAACAGATCACTGGTTGCCTACAGAGACTGACTGCAGAAGGGCATGAAGAAACTTTTCAGAGTGATGTAAATGCTCTATATCTTGATTGCCATGGTGGTTACACTGGTTTATACATTTGTCAAAACTCATCAAAGTGTACAATTTAAATGGGTCATTTTACTGTATGTGAATTATACTTCAATAAAGATGATCTTTATAAGATCTGGAAATATCTAGAGCATATGGTGGTTACAGGACTGTGTACATTTGTCAAAACACAGAATGTATACTTAAAAGGAGGATTTGTATATGTCTAAGTTATACCTTCATGAAAAAAGAATGAATCAGGGAAATAATTTGTACTGAGTATCACATGATTATTACTTAAAATAATTTTGTCATATAGATGGGGGAATGCTCCATTGAAGGACTCACACTTCCTGATTTCTTACTACAAATTTACTACAAAGTTACAGTATTTAAAATACAGTAGTATGGAATAAAGACAGTATGTAGTATGGAATAAAGACAGACATGTAGACCAATGGAACAGAATAGAGAACTCAGAAATAAACCCTTGCATATGTGGTCAAATGATTTTCAACAAGGGTGCCAGGACCATTCATGAGGAAAGGACAGTCTTTAACAACAAATGGTGCTAGGAAAACTGGATATCCACAGGCAAAACAATGAAGATGGACCCCTACCTCACGCCATACACAAAAATTAACTCAAAATGGATCAAAGTCCTAAATGTAATACTTAAAACTATAAAACTCTTTGATGAAAACATAGGGTAAAAGCTTCATGACATTGGATTTGGCGATGATTTCCTGGATCTGTCACCAAAAGCACAGGCAACAGAAGAAAAAAATAAACAAATTGGACTTCATGAAAATTAAAAACTTTTGTACATCCAAAGGCACTATCAACAGAGTAAAAGGCAACCCACATGGGGCTGGGCCGGTGGCGTAGTGGTGAGGTTCATGCACTTTGCTTTGGAGGCCCAGGGTTCACAGGTTTGAATCCCTATGCACCACTTCTCAAGCCATGCTGTGGCAGGCATCCCACATGTAAAGTGGAGGAAGATGGACATGGATGTTAGCCCAGGGCCAATCTTCCTCAGCAGAAAGAGGAGGACTGGCAACAGATGTTAGCTCAGGGCTAATCTTCCTCACAAAATAAAGGAAACCCACAGAATGAGAGAAAATATTTGCAAATCATATATTTGATAAGGGATTAATATCCAGAATATAAAGAGAACTCTTAAAACTCCATCAAAAACAACCCAAAATAAAACAATTCAAGATCTATGTGAGGAAAACTACAAAACTCTGATGAAAGAAATCAAAAAGGAACTAACTAAACAGAGAGATATTCCATGTTCGTGGATAGGAAGACTCAATATTGTGAAGATGTCAGGTCTTCCAAATTGATCTATAGATTCAATGCAATTAAAATACCAATAAGTTATTTTGTGGATATTGCCAGACTTATTCTAAAGTTTCTATGGAGAGACAAAACGTCCAGAACAGTGAACATTATATTGAAGGAGAAGGACAAAGTTGGAGGACTGACATTACTCGACTTCAAGACTCACTATAAAGCTGCAGCAATCAAGACAGTGTGGTATTGGTGAAAGGATAGACAAATAGATCAGTGGAACAGAATAGAGAGGTTAGAAATAGACCCAAATAAATATAGTCAATTGATCTTTCACAAAGGAGCAAAGGCAATATAATGGAAAAATGATAGTCTTTTCAACAAATGGTGCTAAAACATCCACATGCAAAAAAAAAAAGAAGAATCTAGACACAGACCTTATATCCTTCACGAAAATTAACTTAAAATGAATCACAGACCTAAACGTAAAATGCAAAACTATAAAACTCCTAGAAGATAACATAGGAGTAAATCTAGATGCCCTGGGATTTGGCAATGACTTTTTAGATAGGACACCAAAGGCACAATCCATGAAAGAAAGAATCAATAAGCTAGACATCATTAAAATTGAAAAATTCTTCTCTGTGAAAGACACTATCAAGAGAATAAAATGACAAGGCACAGACTGAGAGAAAATATTTGCAAAAGACGTATCTGATAAAAGTACTTTAATCCAAAATATACAAAGAATTCTTAACAACAATAAGAGTTGTTCAACAATAAGAAAACAAACAACCCAATTAAAAACTGGGCCAAAGACCTTAACAGACACCTCACCAAAGAAGATACACAGATGGCAAATAAGCATGTGAAAAGATGCTCCACATCATATGTCATCAGGGAAATGCAAATTAAAACAACGAGATACCACCACACACCTATTAGAAAGGCCAAAATCCGGAACACTGACAACACCAAATGCTGGAGAGGATGTGGAGCAACAGGAACTCTCATTCATTGCTGGTGGGAATGCAAAATGGTGCAGCCACTTTGGGCAACATTTGGCAATTTCTTATAAAATTAAACATACTCTTACCATACAAACCGGCAATTGTGATTCCTGGTATTTACCCAAAGGAGTTGAAAACTTATGTTCACACAAAATCCTGCACATATATGTTTATAGCAGCTTTATTCATAATTGTCAAAACTTGGAAGCAACAAAAATATCCTTTAGCAGGTGAACGGATAAACTGTGGTACATCCAGACAATGGAATGTCATTCAGCACTAAAAATAAACAAACAAACAAAAACCAAACAACAAAAAAAAGAGCTCTCAAGCCATGAAAACACATGGAAGAATCTTGAATGCATATTACTAAGTGAAAGAAGCCAGTCTGAAAAAACCATATACTGTATGATTCCAACTATATGATATTTTGGAAAAGACAAAACTATGGAGACAGTAAAAAGATCAGTGGTGCCAGGGGTTGCGGGGAGGAAGGGATGAACAGGCAGAGCACAGAGGATATTTAAGGCAATGTAATTACTCTGTATGAAACTATAACGATAGAAACATGTCATTATACATTTGTTCTTACCCATAGAACGTACAACACCAAGAGTGAACCCCAATGTAAACTACGAACTGTGGTGATGATGATGTGTCAGCGTAGGTTCACAAATTGTAACAAATGTACCACTCAGTGTGGGAATGTTGATGAAGGGAGAGACTATGCATGTGTGAGGGCAGGGGGTATATGGGAAATCTCTGTACCTTCTGCTCAATTTTGCTGTGAATCTGAAACTGCTCTAAAAATAATGTCTATTAAAAAAAACAAAACCCTTATTCAAAAATGGGCAAAGGACTTGAATAGACATTTCATCAAAGGAGATATACAAATGACCAATAAGCACATGAATAGATGCTCAACATTGATAATCATTAGGGAAATGCAAAGCAAAACGACAATGAGATACCACCTCACACCCATTAGGATGGCCACTATCAAAAAACCAGAAAATAACAAGTGTTGGCGAGGATGTGGAGAAATTAGAACCCTTGTGCACTGTTGGTGGGAATGTAAAATGGTACAGCTGCTACAGAAAACAGTATGGCAATTCTTCAAAAAATTAAAAGTAGAATTATCATTGATTCAGCAATTCTCATGCTGGGTATATATCCAAAAAAATTGAAATCAGGGTCTTGAAGAGAGATTTGTACACCTACATTTATAGCAGCATTATTCACAATAGCCAAAAGGTGGAAACAACCCAAGTGTCCATCAACAGATGAGTGAATAAGCAAAATGCGATAGATATATAGACATTCTACTGCGTATATATGGATATAAGTATAGATAGTACAGATATATACAATGGAATATTATTAAACCTTAAAAAGCAAAGACCTTAAAAAGCAAAGAAATTCTGACATACGCTACAACATGGATGAAACTTGAAGACATTATGCTGTGAAATAAGCTAGTCACAAAATGACAAATACTGTATGATTCCACTGAAAGGAGGTACCTAGAGTAGTCAAATTGCGAAGAGACAGAAAGTAGAAGGGTAGCTGCCAGGGATCGGGAGGAGAGGGGAATGGGGAGTTATTGTTTAACGGGTACAGAGTTTCAGTTTTGCAAGATGAAGTGTTTTGAAGATGGGTGGTGGTGGTGATTGCACAACAATGTGAATTTACTTAATACCACTGAACTGTACACTTTAAAATGGTTAAGATGGTTAAATTTTATGTTGTGCATATTTTGCCACAATAAAAAATCTTTCAAAAAACTGAGTGATATTAAAATTACAATATATTTTTTTTTTAAAAAAAGAGTCCTCTCCTCCACGTGTCAAATATGCTGGGCACTCCACTAACAAGGGGAATGGGAAGTCTTGGGTTCCAGTTAGTATTGAACAGCAGTAATCATGGAGGACTTCCTGGAGGAAGTGAAGTGGTTGGGGTGATGCTAGGCTAAAGGAGAGAAGGACTCCAGTGGTGAATTATTCCACCTCAGTGCCCATCTGGGCCCTGCCCCTCAGCTCACCTCTTTACAGTTTCTAGGGAGACAGTCTCCAGAGAGCTTGGAATACCCACATTGCTGTCACTCGGCAACCAGGAACTGGTGGCTGCCACCACCTACCACATCCTTTCCACCATCCTGGGCCCTCATCTCTGGCATGGGCTCTGAGCTGCCCAGGCGGTGGGGGCCCAGCTAGGGAGGCATCTCCACCTGCTTCCCTTCTCAGCCACTCACAGGCCTCACAGGGACAACTGAGACTCCTGTTGATGGAGGTAAGTCCACAGAAAGTGCTGGATGGACCAGGGGCAGGACATGGACAACCTCCAGCCCCAGGGGATCCTCCCATTTGTTCCCATCCATGGATGACCCTGGGGTCCAGGGTGGACGGAACAGTCCTGCTCTCAGGGGACTCAGAGCCTCGTGCAAGAGACAGAGCTCACCTTGTTCTTTCAATACATAGATGCTGGGGCCTACTCCACGCTGGTTCTTGGCCACAGCATGTAAAGGCGTGGCTCACCGTTAGAGGGGGCCACAGCAGACACCACGGTGCCTCGCTCACTCCTCAGCAGTCACCTCCAAGCACCAAGGACTACTTTCTCTAAACTCTGCAGTTCTCTGCCTGAGGGCTTTTCATGCCCACAGAAGCAGCCCTCATCCAGAGAGTGAGTGAAAAAATAGCAATGCCCTCACCCTCAACTGGGGCAACTCTGAGACACGTGTCTCCCAGAGCTGCCAGACAAGATGGAGCTCCGGGTGCCCAGAGGTAACTGGCTTGATGACACGCCACCCATTGGCTGCCTCTCCCTCCCAGTCTCACTTCCCACTCCCTTCCTGCTATGTCCTGGAATCAGCTCCCAAATAAACCACTCAAATCCTTGTCTCACGCTGACTCCTGAGGGAAGCCAAGCTACCACAGGGATGATGTATAACAGTATGGTGAATAATGCTATAACAGGGAGGCAAGGTTCTGTGAGATTCGAGCTATGACCAATTGTACGCCAAGCAGTGGCTGAACCAAGGGGTGGGGGTGGGGGAGCTGTCAGCCTGGGTGCAGGCAATGAGGGGGTGCATTGCTGTAAAAAACTGAAAAGCAATGATAAAGCTGACCAACCGCCAGTCTGCTTTTTATTATCTCCATGAACCAGCCATTCTAATCATCTCTGATGACAAAATTCTCCTCCCCACTGAGGCTGATAGCCCTTGCTGTCCCGTGCCCGCCCCTTGGCACCCCACTAGTGCCAACTGCACTGAGGAGAGAGTAGCTGATTGTGGGCAGAGGAAATGGGGGAAAGCCTCACTCAGGAGGCAGCACTGACCCTCTAATCACACAGTACTAGCGCATTTCACACCTCCAGGCCTTTGCATATGCTGTTCCCTTCTCTGGAACACCTTTTATTCTTCAGTTCACTCCCAACCGTCCATTAAGGTTCAGTGCGGTCAGGAATCTCTTTCTCCAGGAAGCCCTCCCTGACCCCCAGCGTGAATTAGATGCCTCCTCTGGCCTTGCACAGACCTCCTAGTGCCCCTCTGTCATGGCAGTTTTTACACTGGATTACCTTTGTTTGTAATATTTTTACCACTAGACAGTGAGCTCCATAGGGGCAGGAACTATGGCTTGTTCATCTGGGCTTGTCTTACAGTAGACACTTGGGAATGGGGCTGCCACTGGGCGGCCACCTTTGTGCAGTGCACAGCCTGCATCACTATCCATGGCAACCCAGCCTGTGGAGGTTTAGTGAATGATTGAATGAATGATGAATGAATAGGTAAGAATTTTCAATAACTGGGGAAGGACTGCAAGCAGAAGGGACAGAGCAAGCAAAAGATGGGATGCCTGCAAATGCAGAGCTTCACTGTGGAAAGGGCAAATAGCTTTATGCCACAGACAGGATATCTCAGGAGTTCCGTGGCCACCAGCTCTAGCATCACCCAGAGTGTGGTCAACATACCTGCGTTCCACCTCAGACCTGCTCAGCTAGAATCTCTGGAGATGGGTCCAAGAATGTGGGCACTCCAGGGGAACCCCAGAAACACAAAATTTGGAGAGGTACAGGGCCAGCTAACAAAGTGAGTGGTGGACTGCAAAGGAGTGAGACTAGCCCAATTGCGTTGAGCCCAGGCCAACAATTCACTCATTCAGCATTCATTCATTCATTCAATAAGTATATATTGAGCCAGGAAGGTACTCAGGAATACTTGTGCACAACACAGACAGGGTCCCTGCTCCCTCGTCACAGTCTAGCAGGAAGATAGTCATAAACAACCAAATAAATACCTAATTAGTATCAGGTTATGATTAATGCTTTGCAGGAAAGAAAGCAGGGTAAGGGGTTAAAGAGTGGAGGAGCTTATTGTGGATGGGGTGTCAGGGAAGCCCTTTGCTGAGGCTGGTAAGAGGTGAGGGAAGGAGTCACTTAAAATCAAGGAGCAAACCATGCAGACATTTGGGGAAAGAGCATTCCAGGCAGAGACGGCAGTACATGCGAAGGCCTGGAGAACAGAACACGTGGAAGAGGGAGACTGGTTAGGGAGCTACTGCAATGGTCCAAGTATGAGATGCTAGAGGATCAGACCAGGGTGGAGGCAGCAGAAGAGGTAGGAAGTGGTCAGATTCAGAATATATTTGGAGGGTAAGGTTGACTAGCTTTTCTGTTGGATCAGATGTGTGTGAGCACAGAGGGGAGGCAAGGTTATAGCAGCCAACGGTGCAGAAGTTGAGGGGAGAGTTGGAGGAGATGGAGAGAGGTGGGGGTGGGGGTGGGGAGGAGCGGTGCAGACCATATGCAGGTTCCTGCAGACCATGGGGAGGACTTCACCTTTCTTTTGAGTGTGATGGGAGCGCCAGGAGGTTTTGAGCAGAGGAGGGATGTGATCTGGCAGGTGTTCTAACAGAATCTCTAGTTGCAGAGTGTAGAACAGACTTCAGGGAGACAGAGATGGAATAGGGCAGTCCAGAGGCTGGCGCAGACATCCAAGCGAGAGATAATGGTGGCTTGCAGAGAGGTTTTGACTGGGATGGGAAAACTAAATTTATTTGAGTAAAAATGATACGTGGATTTCAAAACACTTGTTGAAGAAGCAATAGGCAGCAAAAATCGTGCAGGAGACAGGCCAATAAAGGATTGACATTTGGTAGTGGATCAGGGGCTCCCGCTGTGCGGTCGGCAGCTGTGTCTTCTCGAGGCAAGTGGCTTCAACCCTGAGCTGGTTTTGTCATCCCCCAAATGGGGATGACAACGGAACACACCTCGTAGAGTTGTTGATAGGGTGATGTAAAGGTTTTGGCACAGGATCTAACACACAACAAACATTTAATAAACGTTGTCCTAGGAGCCAGACCGCTAGGTTCCAGTACCACCTCTGCCACTCACTGGCTGACTGTGTCATCTAGGTCAAATCTACCCCTCTGTGCCTCTGTTTACCCATCTGTAAAATGCGGCTATCATTAACACCAACTTCATAGGGTTGGGTCCTGAGAAGTAAATAAATGACTACAAATAAAGCATTTAGAATAATGTGACACGTAGCAGGCACTGCCTAAGTCCCAACTGTTATTATGAATATGTTTTAGCCATATTTCATAACCTCTTCCCCCACCAGCACACGCCCACCCCATTCTGCACCTGGGAATCTCTGGCTCAGAACAAGGCGGGCTCTGCTCGAAGGCGGAACCCCTGCGCGTAGCGGTCCTGCCAGCTACCGGGCAAAACCGGAGCCCAGCTCGGAACGCCCGCGCGCTGCCTGGCGGAACCTTTAAGCGCCGCGCTGGGCTTCCAGCCGGGCGCGCTCGCGCGCTGTGCGGGAGCTTGGAGCTACTTCCGGCGGCCGCGCCCCCAGCCCTGGGCGTCTCCATTTTGGCCGCTGGTGGAGGCGCGGCCAGGACGAGCCGGGTAGCGGAGCGGCGTCTTCAGTGCTTTGAGGGCACGTTGGCTCACCGCACTCTCTCCCTCTTTCCTCCGCCCGCAGAGGCCGGGGGCGCGCATGGCGGGCTTGGAGGTGCTGTTCGCGTCGGTGGCGCCGGCCATCACCTGCGCGCAGGACGCGCTCGTCTGCTTCCTGCACTGGGAGGTGGTGACGCACGGCTACTGCGGCCTGGGCGCCGGCGACCAGGTACGCCGCGGGGCGGC